AATAATTCAGTCTAGCTCTCATTCCAGTTGCGTAAAAACCCCTCTTTGACCGATTAAAATAGTAGCACGCAACAGTATGCACCATACATATATTATGTAGATTTTAATTACGTATCTTGCGCTTTTTCACCTTTGTTTTTCTATTACGTATTAATCAAATTGAATAATTTCATTATGTTACTTTCGTTGTGATCATAAAGTCAAATCCGCTTGTTATTACAACTTGCAAAGAACTTGTAACTTAGCCAATTACGGCCTCGTTCTGCAAATAAGTCTTCTAGTGGTTCTGTGGCAATTCGTTTTCTAGATTCCCGGAAGGCATCAGATGTCTTTGCCTTCTAGTGAGCTATTAAGAGGGCAGGTTGTGATATTCTATATTCAGTTGTACTCCTTATATTCCTGTAATATCACGCTTATTATTCCGAGTCTGAGTAGTATTGCGACGTTTAACAGAGTGAGGAATATTTGATCGTTCACATGAGGGATAGGAAATTGAGATCTTGCAAATATGTGTACTGGTGGTGTTGCGTGAGAATTGTCAGTTTTGTTCACATCCTCAAAGTTCTCAACAAGATTTGTCTCTACAGAATTACAGATATAAATTAATTTTGTTATTAAAAGTCTTATTGATTGCATATTACTTACAGCATTGTCCACAGTGTTCGTAACTTTTGTAATTCGGCTTGGTTTGCGGTGTTTGGTACCTTGAACTTTTATTATTAAAAAAGCATGCCAAGGAATGTTTTCAAAATATTCGAAACAAGGATTCTGAGTTTTGGATCAATGAGCTTCTTGATCACAAAGATAACTCCTCAGAATCTCTGTTTCTTAAATAATTGGAAACAGACCTTGGTGAGCTCCCAGATTGCCTTTATTAAACTGTGATATTTGGTAAAGCAGGCAACTAGGAGCTCTATAATGCCTTTTGCATCTATATTCTTTACTTGTCTGTTGGAGATCTTACTATTCATATCTTTGTTGTGATATTCATCATTCTCATCGATTACTACTGTTCCATTATCACTTTCACTATCTTTGTTGATATGCATTCCTATATTATTTTTGATCTCAGTGATGATTGCTTTCTTATAATTACCTTTGTTTGTGGAAACAATACAGATAATTATTCCACCTAATTCTCTATTTTTATCGACGTGATTTATTATACTGTCATTGTCATTAACATTACTTGTATCTTGTCCATTTGTCATATCTTCATACTTTTCAGTATCTTCTAAGTTGCCAGATTCGTCATTCCCATCAATTACTAACATCATATTATCGTTATTATCACTTTTATTATCTTTGATCTCAGCAACGATTGCTTTCTTATAATCTCCTTTGTTCGTGGGAACAATACAGGTAATCATTTCTAATTCTGTGTTTTTACCATCATTGTCATCGACATTATTTGTATCTTTTCTGTTTATCGTATCTTCTATTTTGCCAGATCTGTCATTTCCATCGATTAAATTTGAGCACATCGTTTATTTAATATGCTCAAGAGAGTACCAATATTTGAAATTTTATTGTTCATGGCATTGAAATCCGCCCGTTTGCAAATTGATGTAGCCTTCGGAAGATCATCGTTTTTTGATACATACGTACATGTTATCTTAATTATACCGATACCTTTTTTTTATTAATGGAAGCTCAGAGTATTAATTACATATTTGCTTTATATGAGTCTGGTTTTTATTTATAAGTAGGAATCGATTTTAGAATCGATTAATTAAGATTGATTCTATTAATTTTTGGATTCGAATCCTATTCCTAATAGGGATAATAAAAACCAACTCAGGTATAATAAATAAAATATGTAATACACACCCCTACAATATATTATCGGAAATTCCCAAAATGAATTTGGTACTTTGGAACCCGATATCTCGACATCCGGTGCTCCCATTCGAACAAAGATATCACCATTAGATTCACCTCGACTATACGAATCTAATGGTGGTATCTTTGTTCGAATGGGATCACCGAGATATCGGGTTCCAAAGTGCCAAATTCATTTTTGGTATTTCCGATAATATATTGTAGGGGTGTGTACATGCATTTAATTATTCAATTGTTGATTGCAAATTTTGTATGCTTTTTAACATAACGTAAAAATTTATCCGCTTTTTTGAGTACAATATTAAAAGAAGAAGCTTTTACTTCTAGTCGGTTTAGCGTTATCTTCGATCTCATGAGTAAAAGACTGCGTTCTGTTCTTTTAACGCAATCTCGATTTTACACACACAATAAAAAATTTTCTTTTAGTGTAAATGGAAGTTGAAATAACTACGATAAATGCTATGAATACACATCAATCATACACATGTCTGATTTGTTGAAATGATATCAATATATCGATGTCGTCAAAATGCATGTGTTAAGCGTAATGTGTTCTACATACGTACATATTATTATACCGTCATTTCAAATTTTTAAATAAAATACAGCACATATCATTTTATAAAATGAATTCAGTCTAATATTTCGTATTTATATTCGCTGGAATGGCACAAGCAGCAACAAAAGTTATTGATAAGTTCAACGCGAAATAACTTCTATGAGAGAAATTGGAGAATATCATGAAAGTTTCATCGATTTTAATTATACTCATGTCTATTAGCACTTTGGCTTGGCTGGACCAACTATTCGATTTTATAACATAAAAGAAATGAATCTGATATATTCATTATAATATTTATGGGATAAATACCTCAAATTCTCAGATATTATAATGATTAGCAATTTCAAAAAAGCAACATATATTACAGTTCAGCTTGTATTCCTGGAATACCACCAATTGTAATCATCGTTATAAACATGCAGATGAATCAGCTGAAAGATTTTTTTTCGTCCCGTTTTTTTAAACGTGATTGTGATCGTAATGGAAACAAATTTGGAATCACATGATTATTTTATTTACTTGGGATTATCGTTATCTTTACTGTATATGTAAGATTTTTCTGAAGAATGCACTTGTCTTAATTATGTCTGGCGAGGTTCATTTCTAGATGTCCATGCAGCAAAACTGAATTTCCGAATTCAAACTAGTTGGAGAGCAGAGCTAATGTAAAAAAAAGAATTAGTATAATTTTTTCGGTACAAATAACGATCTGTTCTATCAGACCTGAAGAATCATATAATCTATAAAAGAACTGATGAAGATGTTTATCAAGAGCTTGCGATTGTATATTCATGGCGTTGATGAAATCTTTGCCTCACATGAAAAGAAATCCACTGTGAAAGATCCTTTTCCGCCAAATGAGATGCCACAACGTCGCAACATTACCATTGGAGTACCAAAAATTATGTTAAAATATATTAAAACCTAGGATTTTCTGTTTTTTTTTTTTTTTTGACATGGGGAGTGATAAACTGGATTAGTTTTTGTTAAAACACATTCGTTACCTATTAGCCGAATAAATAACAGATTGGTTATGGATTAATCGCAGATACTGCACGTTGAGGGAAACCTCTACGATGTATATGGTTTTGAAAGTCTAAAGTTACCTGAAAAGCCAAAATCTTGACGTTTCAAAATCCTGACGATTTAAAATCAGGAAAAATAGTATAATAAATCAAATATTATCGGAATTTAACAGTTGGCAAAGGTTTACGATAATGTAAAAGCGCGGAATTAAACTTATATAAAAGAGACTTGTCGAGTCTAAGGTTCTTCATTCTCTGATCGATTACCTATAGCAAAATAAAAAAACCCACTAAATTCTCTAAATCAAAGATGACACATATAATTTTTTTAGTTCTGTTGCGTCAATTATAATAATTAGTTAAATAGGGGTTTTTCGCACCAGGGTGAGAGCTAGACTGAATTATTTACGAGTAAAGGGATTCTTTGAACGTTCTAAAGGCTTCCCGTGGCGACTGTACGCAAATCGACATTAAAGATAAGGGGCGTTTACAAAATAATAATAAAACAAAATAAAATTATAATTCAAAATC